TTTGACAAATTGATAGATTTTTAGATAAAGTACATTTCTGTCAGAGGATTTGTTTTTATTCTTTGTTTTAAAAAAGTTATAAAGGATTAAAGTTCAAAAAATTGGCGTTTAATAAACAATCAAAATCAATTACACAAAATTAGCCAATCAGAATTGATTATATAAGCATCAAAATTGCCTCTATGTATAGATTGGATGTCTTTTACTGTCCCGTACTGTATGAATATTCATAATTATTACATACAAATATTCATAATATACATAATATATACGATATAGTTGCGAATATTTATAATGATAAAAAGTCATACGTATAAATATTCTTGTGAATGTCTATATACAGTAGTATATGTATTTGAATATATTGATATACCGAGCGGCAATGATTTACAAATTAATTCCGGTCATAACAGCATATCACGGAATTTAACAGAATTTTAGATTTTTGGAAGTTTCCTCGCAGAATTTTATTACTGAAAACAGATCAAAGTTACATAAATTATATATAATACGTATGATGACGTGATATTACATGCGTTGACCAATCATATCACGATATTTAGATACATTTTATATTTTACGTGCACAGAATTAAAACTAAATTACCACAAAATTATATTATTACATATTATTACAGAATTTTGTATCACGTCACAGAATTTTCCTCAAACCATACGCAAAATTTGAAAATCATCGGAAAATTTTTCGGATCAATTACGTAATTGATTAAATCATCCGTGTTTTCAAGATATCGAATCGTTTTAGTATACCTATTCGCCTCGATATCTAACATTTATTAGATATCGTATTTGCGCGTAATAACGCGCAGATGCGCGTTATCTTGAAACCCTACGCTTATTTCGGGACGCACATGCGTGGTAATTCGAATCATTTTGACAAATTCGGGTAACCCTGCTTATTAATGAATATGTATGTTTAAGGGGGCGTTATTTTGGGACGCATATGGCGTTATTTTGAGTCATAAAAATAACTTTCAAAAAAATGGTGATTTCGAAATAACGCATATGTGCGTTATTACGCGTAAATACGGTACCACGAATTTTTGTTATCGTTATATCGAGGTTATACGTACTGCTGTATTGCTGTATCTAGAATGTTTTATGACTTAACGTTAAAAAATTATTCAATATATTTAAAGTATTTTGTGATTTTTTTTTTTTTTTATGATTTGCTGTTTAATAAAAATGATTATATTACACTTAATACTGCTAAAGTATATTCTACAAGCTTTAAATAACAGTTAAGAAAGTTAATGAGAACAATCATTATAAACTATTAAACTTTCTAATGATCAATATTCAACCAAAAATTCTAGTAAAATTCTTAAAGTAATCATGTATTCATTAGAATCCAAGTTTCTTTCTGTTTGCATAAAGTTTCTTAATGAAAATAAGGTGTATCTTAAAAAACTAAAACAATAAAGCTTAGTTTTTTTTTGTTTAAAGAAAAGCAAACGATTTATTAACAATTTGTTTTTATTGTTCGTTAATAAGTTTATCTAAAACGTATTTTTTAGAGCAACAAACAAATTCTAAAAAGCAATCGTTTTCATGAATCACCATGACTAAATATAAATCCGGAGATCTTCAGAAGAAAGGTGCTCCGATGTTTTGGTTTTGGCTTTGGTTTTTTCGATTCCTTTTTTAAAAGACATAAGGTAAAGTTAATGAATTGTAAAGTTATAATAAGGTATATAATTATTTATCAAGTGTAAAAAATTTTATAAAGATTTAAAAAAAAAGAAACAATTTATTTTAAAAATCTATAATATATTTCCCAATTTCACAATAACACTAATTCTAATATCCCAGCCTTATATATATAACCAGCATCTTGCGTATTGCAAATGACAAATCCCAAATATATAAAACAATATTGACTAATACTGTATAACTATATTCTATGATTTACAGGTTAAAAATAAAAAAAAAAAGACATGATGTTTTATCAAACACCCGTCACTAATGTTTAGACAACATGGATCCTACCCGCTTTTTCCGTCGTTCACGGAAATGTTCTCGGCGTCGATCAATATCCTTTTGAGATATTTCAGATATACAGTCACGACGACGGAAACATACCTAATATTTTAATAATAAAATTTAAAGTTTGTTTAATGAATTCTTTAAAAATAATAAATCAAAAAAAAAAAAAAAATCTTACGTCGATCAGTTTTTGACAATCAATTAATTTCTTGGGCATATTCTAATAAAAGTTAAAAGTGATAAATAGACGCATTAACATTATTTATCATTATTTATTAAGACGCATCAAACATCAATTGAATAATTATTATAATAATAATAAAAAAGGAAGGATTAAATTTACCTGAACTACCTGAAATACTTCCATGGGATCATCTACTGCCAAGATCTTTTCTTCATTCAATTTAAATATTGCTAACGCAACACGGAAAAGTATTTTGTTACCTTCACTGTTAATAAAAATACAGAAAATAATTAATATCAGTTGCCAATTATCATAAAAATGTAATAAAGAAAATATAGTTATCATACTAGAAGAAACAATCCCAAACTCTAAGCAATGTCTTTTTAAATATATATATTAGAAATATATTTGCATTATAATCAAAATATCAGATAATAATTGTAATATGAAATTTACCTCAATTGGTAAAATATTGATATAAAGAGTTAAGAACCAATGACTAGTTACTAGGGTAATTGTTGGCATATTTCCATCCGATTTTTCTATATCACAATTGACACCACCATTCATCTTATTCCAAATATCAGGCATCTTTCTCATAATAAGTGACATGAGAACGGCCTGATCGACATTCGAACCTTCCATGGTTACATCATACATATTCTCTGGTAAATAATCGTGAATAATAGTCACTAACATCCAAAATGCCTTCTCTTCCTCCATAAATAATAAAAGAATTCCGGCTACGTAGTTAAGGGATTGACAATAACCGATATTAGGGGAATATAGTGAAAAGGCGGTGAGAACACGACGAAGGGATTGAATAATTGGAACGTTGTCTGTTGAGAGAACAGGTGAATTGCCATCATCAGATATGACAGTAGATTTAAATTTGATATTTTCAGGAAATGTGCGGTGAAGGTCTATATAAAATATTTCAATAAAATTATATTATATTATATTATGTTATATTCGTACAAATTTACAATTTTTAACATTAAGAAAAAGAACGTATCAAACCTCGTTCGATTACTTCGAAATATTCATTTTCCAATCGAGGATCTTGAGCTTTCAGTACAAGTTGTTGGTAAAGATCCGAGTGACTTTTCATTTTAGATTCAGCACCACTATAAAAGAACCATACCTGAAAATGATAATATCTCAAAATTAATTAATTGTATAAAAAAAAAGAATGAATGATTCTATTATTAAGGTATATAAGTAAAAGCAAAACCGACCCTTCCTCGAAGCGATGGTGGAATTCCTTTACGAACATATCTCTTCACTGAGTCGAAAAAAATAATAATAACATGAAAAACTTAACATTAATAATAACAACAATAATAATAAAATTCGGATGTTTATGCTTACTTTTAGAACATTTATTTGGTATCATTCCTCCATTTTCATTTAATACTGCTTCCCATTTAATTTTTCTTCGCTGTAAAACATGTGAATAAGAAGCTTCAAAATCCACATATTCTTTGTTGCTTATCCATTGATAAGATCTTTTGAAACCATATCGATCTCTAGAAAATTATAATACATTAAACTAATGAGAATCGTTTTTCTAAATAAATAAATAACTACTGTATATCCATATATATATGTTGTAAGTGGGAACGAGGTTTAAGTAGATTTGGAGTTTATTTTATATAAACCCTAACCTAAAATTCCAAATCCCATTTCCACTTACAACATATATATATATATATGTATGTAAATATATTACCTCTCATTTTCAAATGGATCACGTTGCACCTTTACGGAACCAGGATGAAGATTAGAGGAGGAATTTTGACGAGAAATAGAATGCTTAGGGGGAGTACCTATTGGTACATGTTCATCACTACTAGCCGAAGAATGCTTCGCTCGATTATTATCACTATGAACATTATTTCGATCTTCGTTAACACTACTTCCAGATAGAGATGGTGTCCTACTTCTATTATTTTCTCTTAAATATTCATTAGGTACATTTAAACCATTTGTACGTTCTTCAATATCTCCACTATTACTATTTTTAATTCCATTATTATTCTTATTATTGTTATATGAACCATAATGATTACGTTCTTCAATATCACTATTAATATTTTTAGTTCCAATATTATTATTGTATGAACTATAATGAGTAAATACATAAGGACTGGGAGGTGGAGGTGGAGAAAAAGCACCGTTAATAGTATAATGAAATACAGAATTAATCGGATTTGAATAATTAGGAGTATTTTTAAATGAAGATAATGCAGGAGTAGGACAATCAAATGATGGTTGTCGTTTTAAACTGCTTATGCTAATATCACGAAGATGTAAATTAAGCGAAGGTCGTTTTTTAACAGAATTAATAGTAGTATGACTCCATGTTGATTCACGTGGTGAAGCAGCCATGTATTCGTCAAATAAAGACGAATAATATGAGTCTCTAGAGCTAGAAGCTTCAGTAGGCATTTTTCTATTTGTTATAAAAAAGACTTCTTTTTCTTTTTTTTTTATTTCTAAAAAAAAAAAAAATTTTTTTGAAATATGTAAGTGTAAAAGAATCGATCTTTTGAGTGTGTTTATGGTAAGGGGAAAAAAGTCGGGTTTATGAAAGTTAAGTCGAGGATAAGGTTGGTGGAAAGCTTGGGTGTATTTAACCAGTAATTTAAAGGAGTGAGTTAGCAACTTCTAGTTGCGTTGAAAATTTTTGAAATAAAAAAAAAGAAAAAAAAAACCCAAGCAGGGATGCGAAATTTTTTGATATTATATTCTGCAAGAATACATGAATTAAATAAATGAATGACTTGAGTGAAAAACTGGTAAAAAAAAATATAATAAAAAATAAAAAATAAAAAAATAAATAGAGTTTAGTGTGAATAAAATAGTGTTTGTTTTATAAACTTAGCGTTAGTATAGTTAGTATAATATAAACAAGGTGCTATATAAGACTAACAATAGTACAAATATAATCTGCAATTATATGCGCTCTGATTCGTCTTTTTATTATTATTATACTATATTTATAAAAAAAAATCGCATGCATGTCTACTTGTACAACGTTCTACTTGTCTCGGTGCATATATCAACTTAGCATTTCAGAAATCTTTGATAGAATTTGTATACGATAGTGATAGTAAACTCGTAGTAAACTGTGAAAAAAACAATAGAATAAAACTGGTTTCATTGGCATTATGGTTATTATGGTTTAATTGAGGTAAGGCGACTTGAAATTAAAACCTCGTTTAACGTTATTTTTTTTCGTATTTATAAAGGGGGGG